CATTGAATGCCAGAGCACAGTTCCTCCCAGACGGAGCCTCGACTTCCCCAGGGTGGATTCCCAAATGTGCAGGGGCTGGCAGAGGCCGCCGTGGAACCCAGGGCCTTGCACATGCTGGACAATGGCGCCCCGCTAGCTTCGCCACTTTATTTTTGAGACAGGGCCTTGCTGAACTGTCCGGGCTGGCCCTGAAGCAGTGGTCCTCCTTCCTCAGCTTCCCAAGTATCTGAGGCTGTGGGTGTGCGCCACGGCGCCTGGCTGAGGTGGGGGAAAGTGCTTCAGGAGAGGAGGGGCTCCCTCAGGACCTGCAGAGCACTGGGTGATGCTGGAAGAGGGCTGCCCCCAAGTCCTGCCAGGGAAGTGCCTTGGAGAGCGAAGGCCAAGGCCAGTTCTCAGACACGGGCAGTGGCTGATGTGCAGCGGTCCTGAGCGGCTCTGGGTAGGAGCACCTGCTTCCAGACAGAGGCTCAGGCTGCTCCAGTGCCACGGCAGCAGAAGCCTCCGGTGCTCAGCCGACCGGGACACAGAGTGGACCAGCCCTGGAGTGGAACCGTTCCGCTGAGACCCTCACGTCACCCAGGAGGGGTGGAGCTCCAGTGCACGCTGGTCAGCGCCAGGACACAGGGCTTTCTGGCAAAGCAGCGTGGTCACTAGCTGACCAAGGTGACCGACAGAGTCAGGAAGGTGTGGACTTGAAGCAGACCAGGAATGAGAAGAGATGCCCCTGAGCTGGGAGGGCAGAGCAGGAAGTAGACATGGGGGGCTGACGTAGACCCCACATGCCCAAACTGCTGTCCATGTGGACTGACTCATGTGCCAACTGAAGGTCCAGGTGGCTGGCTGGCAGCACCACACCAGAACAGCCCCAGCCCCATACCCAGCTATCCATGACCCCCAGGTGGGGACGGAAGGCAGGGCCTGGAGCATGCCCCCAGTGCTCAACCACCCAGCCCCACCCAGCCCCCAGTCAACCGCACTCCATGGGCAGCAGACACAGAGACACGTCAGGCTGGCAGCCAAGGGGAGATAATGACCAGCCACAGGACAGAAGGGGCAGTGAGGCAGAGTCCTCACACCTGAGAGACACCTTGCTGGGGACAAAGGGGATATTTCAAATGATGAACATCTTGGTTTACCAGGAAGTTACAGTGATTCTAAGTGTGTCTGGACGTAATACCCTGCTTCAAAATATAAACCCAAAGTGGACAGACTCAGAACCCACACAGTAGGCAGCTTCTCAATCACGACAGAAATTCTGAGACACATCTCCCTAGAATCGACGGAGCAAGCCGACGAAACAGAGATCAGTTAAGACAGGAGACTGAAGAATCGGCCAGTTGAAGACACACAGCCGGCTGACAGGTGTGCAAAGCCACAGAAGCTGGGGACAGCCTGCGTTAGATGCCCCGAGCTGTGAGGACAGCAGCACCCTGGCCTGTGTAGTCGAGCTGGCCGTGAAAACCAAGGGAAGTCAATCAATCTTCCTGTGTTCAGAAGTCAGGAAACCACAGTCCTAAACCATGAGGGTTGAAAGAAGCTACACCACTTCGCGGTATTGACCCTGAAGAATCAGGTCATCTTACTAGAGTGGCACGTGCATGCCCATGTCTATGGCCACACAATTCACAACAGCCAAACCATGAACCAGCCGAAGTGTCTGTCAGTACACGAATAATAGAGAAAATGAGGTGTCGATACACAATGGAGTTTTATTCAGCCGTAAATAAAAATGAAATTATGGCATTTTTAAGAATATCAATGGAACCAGAGACCATCCTATTAAGCAAAATAAGTGAAACTCAGAAGTCAAGGGTCGTATATTTTTTCTCATATGTGGAAGCTACAAAGGATAAAAAAGAAAACCAAGGTGGGGTTGCTCTCCTAAAAATCATAAGGAGATCAGTAGAGGAAAGGAACCCAGGTGGTGATCCTGGCCGAGCTGTAGGTTGTATTGTGTGCACGTGTGGATAGGAACAACAAATCCCACCATCGTCTGTGACGGTGACGCTCTGATAAAAAATGAGGGGAAAAAGAAGCTACTGTGGACACTAGAAACTCTATTTAAATTAGTTATGTGAACATGAAGCCAACTGGTGGGTGGAGCCAAGCTGGGGACATGCTGGAGAGAAGAGAGTCTGTGGTGACTGACCTCGGAGAGTTATGGAGGAAAGGGAGGGAGGACGGAGAAGTGTGCACTGCAGGAAGGGCCCACAGCTGGGGCTGGCTGGCCGGCCCTTAAGGCTCCTGAGAAAAGGAAGAAAACACACGTAACTCCAGAGAACCTAAAAGCTCAGTGAAGAGAACAGACAGCTGATTTAAAAATGGGAAAAAAAGATGCTCACAGACATTTCCAAAGAGGACAGGCTGCGGGCAGCTGGCAGGCCCCCTTCCTGCCACCAGGAACCCGAAGTCAGCACAGCCAGGAGACACCACAGCCCCCACGGCCAAACCCAGAGCCACATGGAGCGCGGAGCAGGGCTCTGGGAGGCCGTGGGGTGCTGGTTAACATCGAAACACACTTGCCTCAAGACCAGCGATGGTGCTCCTCCTGTTTACCCCAGACCCTGCACCTGCCTGTTGTGAGCTGGGCAGCTGCCCAGGCTCCCTGGTGGGTGGGTGGAGAGGAGCACCATCCAGCCCTGAAGAGAAGGCACCAGCAAAGACATGGAGGGCATTTAAATGCACATTTCAAGGGAAGAAAGCCACCTGCAAGGCTGCTGTGACACATGACAAAGGTACTGTGGTCACCGTGGGGCATGGTCTGGGTAGCAAGCTGGGTCCCAGAGGATGCTCAGGACACTGGGCTGTGCATCTGTCAAGGACCATGGACAAGCCACGCTGGAGCATATTGTCAGCCCTCGGGGGCGGGGTTGCTGCAGGTGAGGGGACTACACCTCCTGCCCACTTTTCCTGCAAACCTCAAACTATTTTTAGAAGCGAAATTCATCAATTTAAGAGTCTAACAAAAACTCTACTAGTAAGATAAAGAAGAAAGATGTCCATATTCATACAATCTGCGGGATACAGACTTGTGCAAACGTGACCAGCCACGGGACCTGGGCTCAGGACACCCGCCCTGAGACCCTGTGCACCTGGTCAGAGCTGGGCCCACTCACTGTCCTCGGGTCCCTGGACATGGTGCCCAGATGTGTAGTCACACAAGTGTAAGTCAGCAGGCTTTGAGGCGAGCAGGCAGCCTCCTGGTCGCCCAGGGCCTCTGAGAGGGAGGAGGGAGGAGGGAGAGAGGGCCCAGGAGCTCTGGACCAGGTTCCCGTGGCGGCCTTATTGCAGGGCACTGGTGCCTTCAAGCTTCCTCCGTGCTGAAGCTCTTGACTTCCCCCCTTCCTGAGACTGAGCCCACCCCATGCAGGGAGGCACTCCTTCACCTGTTGGTGGATGTGGGGTCACCTCTGCCACCTGACTGCAGGGAATGGCACTGCTCAGCCCCTGGGAACCGCGTTCTTTCTTTGCCTGAAGGATATTCTACCAGGCAACCACTGGTTTTTGAAATTAGATGGCAGTAAAGCCTAAGAATCAGAAGTGACCCTGCTGTGTGACATAGGGTGGTGATGAGACACCCTGTGCAGCCTTGCCTGTGGGCTGGGTGTTGTGAGAACAACGGCACAGGGTTCCCCACCAGTGAGTGGGCAGCCGACTGGGTCAGCGGGTGCAGGCATGGACCTCTGTTCACCACCCAGGGGCTGCAGGGCCTCAACTGCCCCTGGGCACCGCCACACCTCGAACTTCCAGAAGCTCTGGGTGCACATGGTGGAAGGGTCCACCCACATTGGGCCACTGACCCCTGGAGCTGAGTGCTGCCCCTGACCCGCGTGGGCAGTTGAACTTCAGGTCGCTCGTGTGAATTTCCAGGGACACCCGACACACTTTACCTTAAAACAAGCTTCTCCGCCCCCCAAACGGGAGAGCAAGGGAAAGTCCCGAGAGGCTGGCAAGAGAGAGCAAGCACGTGTGGAAGTGGGCTTTATCGGGGGACCCTTGTTCTTAGTCCTCTCCAAAAAAGGCCAGAAGGGGCAGGGTTATGAGGGACAGGGGTGAGAGTTACATCTGGAGACACCTTTCATTTCCTGAGCTGGGACCATGTCCAAGTCACCACAAAATGGAGGGACTGGTCAGTCTCCTGCTTCAGAACTGGAAGGCAGGGGTCATTCGGAGTGGCTCCCCACAGCTGAGACCCCCAGGGCTCACCCACTGGCCCCTCACATCCTACGAACCCCCCAGTGCCTTGGAGGTTCCAGGTCACCAGCTCGGTCCCCTGCTGCCCCAGAGAGTGCCTTCAGGTCTCTGCAGGTTCTCCTGCCTGGAGACTTGGCTGTCCCCTGGACACTCAAGGGCAGGACCTCAGGCTCCCAGGAGAGAGGGACTGAGACGGTGTCCTTCATGAAGGCCTCCAGGTGGGACTTCAGGACTAGGGCACAGGAGAGACAGGTGCCGGGCACCGGGAGCAGGGTCCAGGAGCCTGGGGCCATCTCTCTGTTGCTCTGGGGACCACCCTCTGGGGTCAGCCCCACCTTGCTCCCAAGAACCCAGGACTGGATGAGGAGCCCAGGGAAGGCCCAAAGGACCAGCATGGGCGGGTGGGCACAGCTCAGCCAGGGCTGTGACACGTGCCCTGGGGCAGAGCGCGGCATGGAAACAATGAGAAGGCAGCTCTGGTGGCCCTTGACGGGAAGGGAAGGGGTGGGAAGTGCTGACTGCTCTCAGTTCTTATCTGAGCCTGCTGTCACCGCAAGGCCCCGCTGCCAACTGCACCAGGCAGGCTGCCTGGCCTTCCCCCTCCCTGGGCCTTTTGTTTTAAACTGGTGCCTGGTGATTACCCACGAGGCGTGTCCACGCAGAACCTGCTGGAACCATCTCCTTCCCAGAGCCCCCACCCGCCCCTTCCTCTCCCTCCCGCCTCCCTTCTGCTCTTCCCCTTCTCCTTTTTTCTCTCCGGCTCCCACATCTGACCCTTGACTCCAGCCAAGCTCTTTTAAACAGAGTGTATTAATCAACCTGAGTTTTATTTTGGTATTTTCGATGCTCAAATTGGCGTGTCATCTGGACATGACTGACTCTTCCTCGCTTTGGGGGACAGTGAACTGTCACTGTCCTCCTGCTCTCTGCTCAGCCAGGGGCTCCTCATACCACAGTGATGGGCTGCCCCAGCGGGGGGCTACTCCGGCCAGCTTGGGGTGGTCTCTTGGTGGCAGGGCCAGCTGTGGTCCCGGTGCAGTCCTCATTCCCCAGGTTGCCCCTACCCTGGAGGTGTTTCCACAGGGACCAGGCAGGACCCCACCCTCCCAGGCTGGGTCTGCCCTCCTGAGGTCTGAGGCTGCGTCCTGCTCCTCGCATCCAGATCTTGTCCAGCAACTTACTGCTGTGTCTGTTTGCTTTGCAGGGCTGGAGGACAGTGCTGGCCCTGTCATGTCTGTGTCCAGCTTCTCCTGTCACACTGTCCACAAATGTGCCAGAGCCGTTTCTGAGGCTAATCTCCCCTCCCAGAGCCCCGGCACTTGCTGGACACTCCGTCTTGCCACAGACCTCCTTGCCTGTGCTGGATGTGGTCCCAATGGGCCTCCAGCAGACGGGACCCAGGGCAGTGGGATCAGGAGGAGATTCAAGGGCTGAGTGGCGGGCAGTAGCAGCACCTGAGGAGCTGGGCCAGGTCCACTGCCCCATGCCAGGAGTGGGTGGGGAGGGGCATCTGCCAGGTCCTTGGTCATTAGCCAGGACCCCAGTGTGGAGCAGGAATTGCCTTCCCTGGGCTGGTTCTCTCCATTCTTGTGGGAGGCACATCTGCATCCTTGCCAAGGCACCCCGGCCCCTCTCTCATGGCCTGGTGTGGTCCACCTATTCTGCTGCCACCAACCCTGGGGACATGCCCAGGGAGAGGTCATGGGGCCTGAGAAGGACTGACAGGCCCAGGGACACTTCTGCCCATTGGGGACCCTGGGAAGGGCCTGAGGGTGCGGAGTGTGTGGGTTCCCACTGCCGTTGGAGGTCTGCACAGCTGGGGAGCTGTGTGAGCGGAGATGAGGCTCAGGAAGGCTGCTGTGTTTTTGGCCTTGGGAGGGCCAGCACCTGCCTCCACCTCGAGCCTCAGCCCAGCCCCCTGACCTGTCCTCCTTCCCGCAGTTCCGTGTGCAGGACAGGATGCCCCAGGCTTCTGTCATTATTTAATGAGAATACCAGAGAACCCCAGCCCTGACTGCAGAGGTACCCCTGGTCAGTCCAGGCCCTAGCTGCCCTGTCCTGGATGGCAGAAGAGTAGGGGCACCCAGCACAGGGAATACTTGACCGCCTGGCCCACCCTTGGTGGGAGCCCGGCCAAGTTCTGCTGAAAATAAACACTGTGACCGAGAGCCAAGGAGAACTGGACTTCCTGGAGAGGACAAATGGGGACCCGGGGTGCCCATGCCACTGCCCCACTCCTCCTGCCTAGGAGGGCCCTGGCTGGTCGGCTGACAAGGGACCTAGTCCTCCAGGTGAGCAGGGAGGGTGCTGCAGGGCTCCCTGGGGCAGGCGGCCTCTGGCTCTGTCCTCTCCCTCACTGCCTCAGACGGCTGGAGGACAGTCCGAGGTGCTCCCGTAGGAGGTGGGAGGGGCTCCTGCAGAGGGTCCGATGGCTGTAGGAGCTCTCTTCTGGCTTGGCTGAGACTCCTCGGCCTGTGGCCCCTGGGCCCATCTGTGGACTGCCCCTCCGTGGCAGCCTTAGGGCTGTGTCCACTGTGTGCCTGGACATCCTTGCTGTCAGGTGCCTCCCAGAGCCTGCCCCTCAGCATTCTGCAACCAGGCCCCAGCTTCAGGCTTGGGGCTCCCTGGGAGGCTGTGGGGGCCCGGCGACTGGAGCAGCAGGATTCGGAAGAGCTGGGCCCAGGCCAGCCCTCTCACAAGGCCTGCAGCCATGGCCATGTCCAGCACTCCACATCAGGAGACGGTGGTCTGCCACTGCCAGCTCATGGAGAGCATGGAGATGAGACCCATCCATGGGGCCCGGGCAAGGCTGGCCCGGGTGCCTGGTGGTCACCACCCAGGTGGCTTGGCCCCTGAGGCCCCTGCTGCCCTGCCCCTTCCTCGGGAGGAGCTGGCCCTGGGTTCTTGGCAGGAGGTCTGCAGGATGCCAGTGGTCACAGGGGCCAAGAGCAGTGTCCATCCTCATGCCTCAAAGGCTGGGGACCCTGGGGGCTGTCTGCCGAGCCCCTGCGGCCTGGGGACGAAGGGAAGACAATGGTGGCATATTCGGTGTGTATGCCGGAGGCAGGGGGCTCAGGGGTCGGGGTTTTCTCTCGCCACTGGAAGTCCAGTTCCCCGTAGTCCAGGGTGGAGACGGGCACTTCTGAGGCCTCCTCCTTAACAGAGAGAGGGAGGGAGGGAGAAGTTGGCAACCTAGGACCCACCACCCAGACCCCAAGAGAGAGCCTGCACCCCACCACCCAGACCCCAAGAGAGAGCCTGCACCCCACCACCCAGACCCCAAGAGAGAGCCT